AGACGTCACAACAGCGTCTTTAAGACGACAGTCCACGTCAACCAGTCTAGCATGATGCCCAACCATCCTACACTTAACATTGCCTGTGTCAAAGAGAAGAAAACAATGAAGGAACATGCGCTCACTTACTTTCTGTTTCACTGATGAGGATGGATTCACACTGCATTCAGTCACAGCCACTGATGTCTCGTCACACAATTCCTGTAATTATGAGAAAGACAGGTACAACACTGAGGCAAGGATGCTTGCCAATCGGTCACCGCAACTAATTCTAGTATCAACCAAAGACTAAATATCTAGTGTCCCTTTCATGGCTCCGTCATGCACAAAGCAGACGTGCAGAATTTTTTTTAATAATCTGCATCATATAAAAAACTAACATTCATGAAATACAGAACATGGTTGACTTTCAGTGATAAAGTCTTTAAGAGACTCACCCTTAAACGCGAAGGCCAAGAGGAATCCCCATAGTTGTATGTGACCTCCTCATCTGGAAAGATATGTCTTATACTAAACAGACACAGGTGTGGCCTTCCGTCAACAATGATTGTCTTGACTTTGCAATTTGGATTTTTGTCATCATCATTCCTCCACCGTCCTCTTTTGTTGCATCTATGCTGTGATAAAAATAGTGCAGTAAGAAACTTAAAACATAGACACACACTGAAACATACGGTTCTAACTGAACATTTGGGTTAGGCTAACCTTGGCCTATTTAACCTATATTCAAATACACATTGTGAAAGTTAACTTGACTTCCTAAGAATTTAATAGGTCAGATGATCCACTTAAGGTAAAAAAAATAATACCCCAGTTGAACAATAACCATGTTATTGATTATCACTAACTAATAAGTTCCTAATGTTATGAGAACCCTAGCAAATCTGCTATTGTAATAGTGCGGCACGATTAATCTTATCGCAATCGTAATCGCGATGTCAAGCCTGTGCGATTATATGGCGCAAAATGCTGCGATTTTATGTAAAATAAACAATGGGCTGTTAACGCAATTAACGCAGCATCTGTTATTATTTGTCATCCTTTGGCTAGTGTTACATGATAATGCTCTCATGCGATTGCTTAAAACCATTCATGCGAGACAAGTCAAAAGAGAGCGCGCTGAATGTCCGACTGTGACTCACAGAAAGACACGCGCCAGAATACAGTTCTCTTTCGCTCTTGAACGAACAACAACACACACAATTATGCCAAAATGTCGTTTGTCGAGTATCTTCATAACATAAGAGCAGTCTTATGATGGACGTATAGAGTTGTGAGAGGATGAGGCGCATGTGAGATCCGTGTCTCTGTCAGCAGCGGCTGCTCTTAAAGGGCCGGCAGCCAAAGCTTTCTGTCAGTAAAGTTAATCAAAGAACAAAGGGGACAGAGAAAATTACTCACTGCTCTTGACTAAAGAACTTATGTAGCTTTAATAAGGATTAGTCTATTTATTATTTATGCAGCGCAGAGTCGCAGACTGTTTGATAACTTTATTAAATTTCTGCATACCTGTTAGACAGGAAGGGCACAGGTAAATATGACATGTCATTTATAATGGGTTTATGTGAGGATTATTTGAAGGTCACTTAAATTAAAAGCTGTTATATTTTTTGACGTCTAATAAATGTTTTTTAAAAAATTATAGCTTTCAATTGTAATGATGGAATCACTGTAATGTTGGATGGCTATAATTAATGTTTTAAATGGGGGTGGATTAATTTTTATCCAGACATCAATGGCTTAGATGTTATCAATCATTTAGTTGTTGTTGCTAGTTTGAGTTGAGAAATACACATTTCAGAATTATCACTAATCTGTGTGTGCATTTTGCTTTAGAACCAAGCAAGTTGACTCATGAAACCATTTGTTTATTATATCGCAATCGCATATTCCAATTGCAATATTGACCTCAATAATCACAATGACATTTTCCCCAAATCGTGCAGCCCTATATTGTAATAATAATAGTAATAATAATAAATCATAATTATAACTGTTTTTATTAGAATGACATGCAACTAGTTTGCTCTGAATATGAACCAAAAATAAATAAACCAAAAAAGAAACAGCCAGCTTACCAATAACGTGTTCCATTCCATGTGAAGTCAAACAAGTAGTTGCCTTGAACATCTTTAACATGTTTACTTTGAGAGAGAATCCCACGGTATTCAACAACAAAGGTGGATGGTTCAATGTGCTCAAGTGCAAACACACCTCTCCCTGAAAGGGCAAAATAATATATAATAATACAAATAAAACATGAATCCAAGTGCACCTATATGTTACACAGCTAACCAACCTATCCTTTTAAAGAGTTAAATCCTGTAAAACTGTGTAATGTAATATGAGGTGCAGGAAATAAAAAAAATAATCAAGCATTGGCTTTCACTGTGATATAGCCTACTAGTTGATTTTGGTTACACTATTCTCTGTATACATAGTTTTATGTATTTATTTTAAAATAATAATTATAAAAAAATTGTTTAAAGTTTTTTTTTTCATCTCTTAACCTTTATGAAAATGAGCGGCTTACCCAAGGGTAAAATGTGTGAATGTGAAAGATCATGTCCAGACTGCCAGCAATAGGCCTACTTTTCATTCTTACAAGTGCATGCCTACTTTATGATTTGATTTGCCTGCAGTCTGAACATAGTCTGATTGCCTTGTGGTGTTGATTTGTCGTCCCTCAATGAAGGCTTTGTCTTTGCCCGACAATATGTGTTCTTTTGCATCCTGCTCAGGTTTTATTCTCTTCTTTCTTAACATGTTGACTGAAAACATTCCAGACAACATAATTAGTATGTATTTATAAATATATAAATATATATAAATATAGATATATATATATATATATATATATATATATATAGATAGATAGATAGATAGATAGATAGATAGATAGATAGATAGATATGCTTTATATACAGTACATTATTGTCAGACTGTAGACTATATCAATAAATACAACATTTTACACAGAAATAGTTGATCAGTGAGGTTTTGAGGCTTGTTACTTTTGATAAGAAACAGTCTCCGATTTCAAATTCAGTCCATTTTAATACCATTTTATCACTCTTTAATGTGGCGCCTCAGATCAAATGAAGCTAAACTCGTTACTTAGAAAAATTAACTAGAGAGAGAAAGTTTTAGAAAATGTTACATGTATTACACCTGATTTACATTAAAATAATAAATGTAAAATCGAATTGGAAATAGAATCGAAAGCACGTGAATTAAAATTGAATGGAATCATAAAATGTCTGCTAATATCCAGCCCTAAAATGAATCAACCAGATAATTTTGGCAAGTCATTCTAATGACAGTAACGTTACATTAATGAAAGTATACTTTTACATTAGTCTCGTTTCTGTTTATTTAATATATTTCTGTATCTTACTGTATTAAACTGTAAATTCATCCACTCAACTTTACCAGTCATCATGATGACAACATAGATTTGATTTATTTCAAAATGTAAATTAATTCTCTCAAGCATCCATGGAGATGTATCTTTCATCAACTAATACTAATACTAGTATCCAACTGCTTATGGATTTATATTAGCTACGTTTAGTGGCCACGTTTAAAGTAATGTAACTAACGTTATTAAAAACTGTCTGACTCATGACACTTAACTCCATAAAGGTAGAATATATAAATAAACGCACTTACCTTCCTCGTGATAAAGTGAAAATCTCCCACTATAGCTCGTCAACTTCGCTCGAATTCTGCTAATTAATCTTTCATGATGATGATTAATCTTCTGATTAATCACACGGTCACACCACACGTCTGCGATAGAAGATCAGAGGCGCAGGCGCGCTGACTTTGACGGATGTGAAATGCAGCCAATCACTGACGAGGATTCCAGCAGCCAATCACTGACGAGGATTCCAGCGTTCCACCAATGAATCGCGCTTGGGCGTGGTCTGGGTGTATGAAATGTGTATGATACTGCAGTAGCGTCGAATTTCACATAGAGGGAGATTATACACTCTGAGCATACTCTGGCACACACTGAAAAACGGGTACAACGGATTTATAAGGACATATTGAGAAAAAGCGGGAGGTGGTTAGGCGCAGCCTGATAAGCCTTTCTACACTGCTCGACTTATGAGGACACTAGTGCTGTCCTCGTAGTTACGGTATGTCCTCATAGAGTCGGTATGTATCCATGGTTTTTGTCCTCATAATCCGGTCGCACCAACGCACACACACACTCACACTCACTCACAGACACACACACACACACACACACTCACACTCACACACGCACACGCACACACTCACTCACACACACACACACACTCACATGCATTCAAACACTCTCTCACACACACACACACACACTCTCACACACACACACACACACACACACACACACACTCACACACACACACACACACACTCACACACACACACACACACACTCACATGCATTCAAACACTCTCTCACACACGCACACACACACACTCACTCACACACACACACACACACACACACACAAACACACACACACACACACACACACACACAAACACACATATTGTCAGGTCAGTGAACTCCTGCACTCTGTTCCTTTATTATCACAGAAAGCATCATATGATCAATGTCTGTCTGTCAGTATTGATTAATATAAACACATTTACTTTAAAACATACTTATTTATTGCTAAAAGGTGTCCAAAAAATGAATAAATTGAATAAAACACTTATTAAAAAGATAAAATATTTAATTTCTTTGCCTGCATGTGATCCATGAAGGCTTGTTTCCACCACAGAATAAAATTAAAAATAAATCCCACAATTCAGAATTTTTTCTTGCAAATTTTTTTATTTTAATTCCTTGGCAGAAACAGGCTTCCGTAGTCATGTGACCGACATCATGCGCATGTGTTGTTAAATTATTGACATATCGAATTTCAGAGAGGCTAAAAACTGTTGGGATTTTGGCTGACAAACATGTTTGTGAATCCCTGATGTGGAGTCATGTGAAGTTATTTATAATACTACTATTAATGTACCATTTGAATTCTTTATGTATGTGATCAGTGTTAGTCAGAGTCTGAAGTGTCCGTCACTGATGGATCTGAACTTCTCATCCGTCAGGACACGAACCCGTCCTGCACCAGCTGACCTTTGACCTGTCTGAAGGTTCGGGTCGAACCCGTCCTGCACCAGCTGACCTTTGACCTGTCTGAAGGTTCGGGTCGAACCCGTCCTGCACCAGCTGACCTTTGACCTGTCTGAAGGTTCGGGTCGAACCCGTCCTGCACCAGCTGACCTTTGACCTGTCTGAAGGTTCGGGTCGAACCCGTCCTGCACCAGATGACCTTTGACCTGTCTGAAGGTTCCCGTCACATCCGGCTCGTCCTGAGGAGGAATCAAACATGAGCTTCGACTTTCTCTCTCACAATTCAGACTTTTTTCTCAGAATTGTAAGAATTGTCCAAATTCTGAGAAATAAACTCGCAACTCCAAAAAAAGAAAAGTTCCAGTTATGTGTTTTATTGTGAAATGTTTCTTATTCACAGCCAAAAAATAAAAATACTGAAACCAAATGATTTTCAAGTTTTGATCAATATTGAATTTGTTTAGTATGTAATATCACTGACTGCTTCCTCATTCAGCTCCTGATCTCAACTAAACTGGCTCCTGAACAGTTGGTTAAAGGGATAGATAGATAGAGATAGAAAGATACACTCACCTAAAGGATTATTAGGAACACCATCAAGTCAAGTCATCTTCATTTATATAGCGCTTTTAACAATGGAGATTGTTTCAAAGCAGCTTTACAGAGATAAACATACAATTTACGGTAACAGAGATTGTTTTGGCTTTATAACGATTTTGAATAATGTTATTTCGGGCTAAAGTTGGTTTTGATTGATTCACTTCCAGCAAAATTATCATTTGTTATTACATTAGGGGCCACTAAGACGACGGCGTTCTCTCTAAACAGACTTTAAACGCGAACCTGTGACCTGATGGCGTTCACATGCGCATTAAACATTGATTCTATAGTTATATTCGCTTGAATATGTGTGCGCAGGTTTGTAATTTCCCTACCAACCTTGCCTAAACAAACTACTTGTCTTGCCTATACATTAGATCCAGAATTTTATTTTATCACTTCGGGGTACGCGAACCGGATTTTCAACAACGCTTTATCTGTAGAGTGGGAAAGGGATCCTCCATAGGGAGAGGATAGTGACACTTCAGCACTGCATTGTCATCGGGTCCAGGCGAATCTCCTTCGTCAGATCTGGAGTGTGTGTGTGTGTGTGTCCAGGCGAATCTCCTTCGTCAGATCTGGACACGGCCTGGATCCGGCAGGCTGCGGGAAAACCTCGGGATAAACAAAGACACTAAAGTTAGCGTAGATGCCATTCTTCTTATGATGTAACGACTACATCTGGATTTAAGGGAAGTGTTCCCAGTTCCGGCTGACCTAATCTATGCAGCCTAACATTGAGTTATAGAAGTCTATAATGTGTTATGTGTATGCTAGGTCAAAGAGATGTGTTTTTAGTCTAGCTTTGAACTGACAGAGTGTGTCTGCTTCCCGGACAATGGTAGGAAGACTGTTCCAGAGTTTTGGTGCTAAATAGGAAAAGGATCTGCCGCCAGCAGTCGATTTAGATATTCTAGGTATTATCAACTGGCCGGAGTTTTGAGATCGCAATAGACGTGAAGGACTATAATGCGTTAAGAGCTCGCTCAAGTACTGGGAGATAAACCATTTAGTGCTTTGTAAGTAATCAACAATATTTTAAAATTTATACGATGTTTAATAGGCAGCCAATGCAGTGTTGACAGAACCGGGCTAATATGGTCATACTTCCTGGTCATTAATGCAATTATCTAATCAACCAATCACATGGCAGTTGCTTCAGTGCATTTAGGGGTGTGGTCCTGGTCAAGACAATCTCCTGAACTCCAAACTGAATGTCAGAATGGGAAAGAAAGGTGATTTAAGCAATTTTGAGCGTGGCATGGTTGTTGGTGCCAGACGGGCCGGTCTGAGTATTTCACAATCTGCTCAGTTACTGGGATTTTCACGCACAACCATTTCTAGGGTTTACAAAGAATGGTGTGAAAAGGGAAAAACATCCAGTATGCGGCAGTCCTGTGGGCGAAAATGCCTTGTTGATGCTAGAGGTCAGAGGAGAATGGGCCGACTGATTCAAGCCGATAGAAGAGCAACTTTGACTGAAATAACCACTCGTTACAACCGAGGTATGCAGCAAAGCATTTGGGAAGCCACAACACGCACAACCTTGAGGCGGATGGGCTACAACAGCAGAAGACCCCACCGGGTACCACTCATCTCCACTACAAATAGGAAAAAGAGGCTACAATTTGCAAGAGCTCACCAAAATTGGACAGTTGAAGACTGGAAAAATGTTGCCTGGTCTGATGAGTCTCGATTTCTGTTGAGACATTCAGATGGTAGAGTCAGAATTTGGCGTAAACAGAATGAAAACATGGATCCATCATGCCTTGTTACCACTGTGCAGGCTGGTGGTGGTGGTGTAATGGTGTGGGGGATGTTTTCCTGGCACACTTTAGGCCCCTTAGTGCCAATTGGGCATCGTTTAAATGCCACGGCCTACCTGAGCATTGTTTCTGACCATGTCCATCCCTTTATGGCCACCATGTACCCATCCTCTGATGGCTACTTCCAGCAGGATAATGCACCATGTCACAAAGCTCGAATCATTTCAAATTGGTTTCTTGAACATGACAATGAGTTCACTGTACTAAAATGGCCCCCACAGTCACCAGATCTCAACCCAATAGAGCATCTTTGGGATGTGGTGGAACGGGAGCTTCGTGCCCTGGATGTGCATCCCACAAATCTCCATCAACTGCAAGATGCTATCCTATCAATATGGGCCAACATTTCTAAAGAATGCTTTCAGCACCTTGTTGAATCAATGCCACGCAGAATTAAGGCAGTTCTGAAGGCGAAAGGGGGTCAAACACAGTATTAGTATGGTATTCCTAATAATCCT